AATCTGAACCATTGGAGATAGTTTGTGAGATAAATATTTTAAAAAACAAATCTGAGCCATTGCTTTTCAATTAGACAGATCTAGACTATTTATTTGAAAGATATTTTCAAATAAAGCCTTCTATTATTATATAGATTTTTTTTTTAATCTTTATTAATATTTTTATTAAAAAGTCGTGTCAAAATTTCTCCTATTGATTGGGATGGTGGGGGCGGTTGGCACAATGCACGTTGGAACTTGGGAATTCGAGATCTCATAGATTATAATTAAAAATTATTTTTATTTTAATAAACAGTATCTGATTGATTGGATTCTTTTAGATCTACCGGCTGAAAAAAATTTAAATGTAAAAAATAAATTGAAAATTTCAATAAAAATTAATGGCGAACTACAGTAACATTTTTTTTTTTTTTTTTTTGGTAATTTGGTTTTTTTTGTAATTTGGGGCTTATAGGATTTTAGTTCTTAATTTTTTAATTTTAACATATTTAATTTTAAATTTTATTTTAAATAAAAATAATAAAAAATGTTTTCTGTGATGTTCACTCAAAACCCACCAAGGCCAAAACTTTTCTCTCTCTCGCCTTCCTCATTTTCTCTCTTTTCTCTCTCTGATGTGAACCTCTCTGATGGATACGCCACCGCCACCACTCCGCTTCCTCTTCTATCTCTCTTCTTCGATTACCAGTTCGCCGTTTCATCCTCCAACATTGCCGTCGACTCCGCCACCAAAACCACCGCCTTCTTCATTCACTCGCTGGTGGTGTCACCACCATGGATTTGAGATCAGATCTACGCTCCCTCAGATAGTGAACAACGTCGATTGATAAGTCATTGGAGGTTTCAAGTCCTTATGCCACAATAATCCATCACTTGTGCATCAGATCTACGCTCCCTCAGATAGTGAACAACGTCGATTGATAAGTCATTGGAGGTTTCAAGTCCTTATGCCACAATAATCCATCACTTGTGCATTGCCCCAAGCATCTACAACATGATCTCAACATATTTCTCTCCAAATCTCTCTCTCTCTCTTTCTCTCTTTATCTCAATCTATGGGGGATTGTTGGAGGTGGTTGTGTATGTATGTATAAGTATTAGATGACGTTTGGTGTTTAAAAGGTCACGAGAGAGACAATGAACAATGCAAGGATAGGAAGCCTTAATTAGAATTCTAATGATGTGGCGGTCTAAAAAAAACAAAACAAAGACACACATACCATATTATAAGTGAGACCCACTTGTTTAGAGCTCCTTTAGAGCTGAAGAATTAGTGCTCTAAAATATTTTTCTTACATATAGATACAGATGGTATGCACTTTTGGATCTATGACATGAATTTGAACAATTTTTTTTCATGCGCCTAGGTATAGTGAGCACTTGATCTATTTGATCAAGTATATCGAGTATAGATCTAAGCATTTTAGCTAGTGCCATTGCATTTATAGTGACAGATTAGAAATCTAAGATCCAATAATAAGCTAACTAGTTTATATAGAGAATATTTTGTATTTTTTAGATTATATAGAGAGTGGTTTGTATTTTTGAGATTCATTATTGTTATTAATGATATAACTTGCATTTTATCAGCTTTGATTTTTAAGAATGGTAGGATTGGGGTTCAGAAGAGCTCATTTGTCTAGTAATACTCGGATCTGCCGCCGCCGTTGTCTCCAGATCCACTCATTCTATTTCTTTGATATCTCATTCATTGTTGTTTCAGTAGTTGAACACAAAATGCCTCGAGACAGACAGAGAGAGAGAGAGAGAGAGTTGTGTTTTTGTTTTTGTTTTTGTTGATTGTTGATGTTGTTGTTGATAATGAAGAAGAAACAAATTGTTGTTAATGATGATAAAAGAAGAAACATATTGCAACAGATAATAAAATTTGAACAATTAAATTCAACAGATAGAGAGAGAAGAGAGGTGTGAAAATTCAATAGATAGACAGAGAAAAAGAGAAGTGAATAGGAACAGATAGAGAGAAAGTTTGAAAATGGTGTGAATCTCAACAGATAAAAAAAGTAGGTTATAAAAATTCAACATATAAACAAAAAAAAAATTGAACAAATAGATATAAATTTGAACAGATAGTCAAAAAAATGTCAAACAGATAAAAAAAAAATTCAACATATAAATTAAAGGATAAAATTAAAAATAAAATGTCATTTCAAAGGAACAAAAGAACTTCTCACCAAACTATTTTACAAATAATATATCTCTTACTAACAAAAAAATATTCACAAAACCTAATTTTCGGTAAAACCTTCCCTACCTTGCACTTTTCAATAATTTTCCCATTTTGTTTTCATTTTCAAAAAAACACATACAATAATAGCTAAAGAACATACTGGTTGTGTTAACTTCACAAAAACATTTTGATAAAAGCAACAACAAAAATAGGCCAAAACAGATCCATCTTAGCTTTTTAAGATGCTCCAACGTACCAAAGGCCTACTGTTCGTTGATGAAGGAGACAATCTTTTTGATCAAATCCACCGAACTTTCACACGTGGAGTTATCAACATGGAAGCAATGGTCCTCCCCTTCACTCTCCGCAATCTCCACCGTTCCTTTCCACCCCCTCTCCTTCAACTCCTCATAATATGCCCTACCCACCCCCATCAGATGGTCCTTCTCAGCCACAAGTACCAACACCCTCTCACACCCAATCCTTGCCAGATCCTCTGCGGCCTGCTTCAGCCTACGATCCTCCAACGCCTCATTCGTCGGACACATGTACAACCACATCTCATCATCCTCATTTCCCCCAAAATACGGGTGACCCATTACCGCACCGACAACTTCAGATTATCCAACCCGGCTGTCCCGACCCGAACTGCCAGTGTATGGCAAATGTTTCCTCCGGCGCTGTCTCCGGCTAAGAACAACCGTTGAAAATCAGGGTGGTGATTGAGCCACGGCTCCGGACCATGCCCATTAGCGTGCGACACGACCCAGCGGAGTGCGGCCCAACAGTCGTCGTAGCAGGCGGGAATCGGGTGTTCCGGGGCTAGCCTGTACTCGACCGAGACTGCCATCGCATTGGCTCCGGCAGCGAGGGTTCTGACGTGGCGGTCGATGAGGGGGGAGAATGCGGACTCGAAGGAGAACCCGCCGCCGTGGACGTAGAAAAGAACCGGAAGTTTGGTTTTCGGGTCGGGTGTTTGGGGCAGGAAGACACGAGCTGATATATCGGGTTGAGTGGATATGGTGACGTCTTTGGATCGAACGCCGGTGATGGGATGGTCGGAAGGCGGAATTTTCTCCGGCGCCCACCGGAATTTTTCGACAGTCCCGTCTTTGAACAACCGAAAGAAACGGAACTCGTGAGTGACCTCTCGATTTATTGAACCCATCAACAACTACAAAGAAGAACAATGTCAGTGAAATTCTCTATAGAATTAGCCAATATAAGTAGAGAGAGATAGAGTGAACCTAATTTTCTGGGTTTGGCAATGGAGGAGCATCTGAGCTTTTGGGAGACATTTGATGCCAAATTTGGGGACGAGAAGGAAGGAATGTTAAGAAAAGTCCTGAGAAAGTGTTCGGAAAGAATCATATTGATGTTAGAGTATTTATAGATATGAGAATTGAGAGTGTTGTACAAGCGTCCGGATCCTCTAGAGTAACTCTCTAAAGTGATCTCCTAAAGTGGATGATCGGACGGTTCAGAATAGTCCTCACCAAAACGATCGTTTTGGTGAGGATTTTCAAAAAAAAATAAATAAATAAAAAACCCATTTTTTCCGATTTCAAAATTCCCCCAGGCTGAAGAGGTTTATCAGACGAGCGGGAAGAACCAAAGCTGCGAAAGAAGGAGAGAGGGAAGAAGAGTTAGAGAGGCTGCTCCGTCTGCTCCGTCGTGCATCCCGTCGGCCCACCGTCGCAGTCGCCACTGTCCTGCCGTAAGCTTCGGTCTCTCATCTCATTCCCTATTCCTCTCTCTCCCTCTCTCTCCCTCTCTCCCTCTCTCCCTCCCTCTCGCTCTCTCTCTGTTCTATTCTTGTCTACCAACAAGTTAGGCTTTTTTATTTCATATATTGCTGAAATCATTGATTTGCACCCTTTATACACATATGTGTGTAGATATATATGTATTTCAATCTTATTTCAGTGTTTGCTTAAAACGATTTTGTTTGAGCTTCAGTGCTCTTGAGAATTTAATCATTGGAGTATTAATTAAAATTAAAGTGCATATTTTGTGAATATCTAAACAATGATCTAAAAAAAAAAAAAAACAGACCCTGCATTCCAATCTAATCTATTTTACATAAAAAAAAATATATTTCAATCTAGATGAACTAAAAATCAAACTGGTGAATCTGAATTATCAATCTTCATCTTATCTAATGAATCAGTTTTTTCTTGATCTGATCCATTGTTATGAGCATTTGTTCCAGTACTCACTCAGTTGGAATGCTCACACACCAAGTGTTTGATAATTTGCTCCTTCGAACTTTACCAAAGTTTAAACCTGCAGATGGACTTATTTACATATTGATTAACATGAAAGCCTATGTAGTAGAAGATAAGTACGTAGATGGTTGTTCCTAAATGTCAAGGTGATGTATACTCAAACAAAGCCTTTGTTAATTGTTGGTATGTGGCCTAAATGTCAAATTGATGTGAAATATTGACATAAATGAATGCATATTTGGCCATGATATGATATGATATGAAAAATTATTTTATCTTGTAAGGATCATGTGCTAGGTCCTACATGTTTGAGTATGCTGGCTTATCTTCATGGTTGATTTTTGAATGTGATGCTATCAAGCACTTATACACACTTTTGGTGGCACACATCTCACCTTGTCTTAAAAGAATTCGAAATAGATGAACAAATGCAATGCTTAGAATTGATCTAATGGAACATTTGTGGAATCAATTTAATTGATCTAAAATTCTGGCCAAACAAAAATATAGCATTGACAGCAATCCTAAATTTAGAAATTGAAAACCAGACTCAAAAGCCACAACCCAATATGTTTTAGAACATGGAGATCTCAAAACCAGAGGTTTGTGCCGTTGGTAATTCAAGAAAAGATAGTGCAATTGAGTGGTTCTTTGACAACTCTTACACACTTGTAAATCCTATTCCAATCCTTTTTCTGGGTGTAGTCCTTCATGTTCATGCATCATGGAGGGATGGCATGCTTATGATTAGACAAGTTGTTAATTGATCTCAACTCTCAATGAGTTGATGATGCTATTTCTCATTCTATCTTCTAACACTTCTTACTTCAATTCAATCTCTCTATCAGGTAACTATATCAGAGTTAAATATATCAATGAGAAAAATCAACAAAAATTAAAATTCATATCAGAGCTAACAAAATTTAACCATTTCATCTCATAAGACAGCTCAAGTTTTTCACAAAATTTAACCATTGGATGTGAAATGGTTTAAAAAACAGAACAGAAAACACCATCTATGTTCTGATTCAGTTTATAGTAATCAACACATAGCAGTATATCAACTGGACTGATCTGACTCAGTTGAGTAGCATAATCAACCCATAGCAACACCTCTAACAACAAAGCTTCAAGCAAACAGATCAGTCACCACTATATATCAGCCATACAAATCAGTCAACAATAACAAAGCTTCAAGCAAAACAAATCAAAATAAGTGGTAGTTCTGAATACAAAAAGCTGAATCCGAATTTAATACGGTTCCACTGAACTAGCATCCATTCCAACAACTTATTCTTTTCAAAATAAGCATATTATTGGAAGCTATCATGATTGCATTATAAAATAGTTTTTCCGCAATTGTAGATTATGTTAACTTTTCATGATTCCTATCCTTCAATCTTACACATCTTTAGCAGAAAGTATACTCTGTGGCAGTTGGGGAGCCAGGATTTTGGTTGAGGGGGACAAAGATGTCAAGTTTGTTGGAAGAAGATTACGAAAAATTTTAAAAGTAAAATTGTAGAGGAAAATTTTGGAAAGCATTTTCAAATAACTTGACTTCAAAATAGTTGTGAATAAAATGTTCTCATTTGTAGTTGCCAATATTGTCACACATCTAAGCATTATGTGTCTCATATTTTCTGGGTGCATAGACTTATTTGAAATTAATAAATTGACTTGTTAGCTCAAAGAAAGCCTCAATCATAGAGGATCATAACATAGGTAACAGTGACTATACGGAATGGAGGGATTGATATGATGCTATATAAATGGGGAACAATATATAATTTATGATAATTTTGTTGAATAAAAATATAAACTTCATTAGGATTGAGCTGTTATACTGTGATAACTTGACTTTCCTAACACACTTGTTAATAACTTGTTTTTTATGCAGGAAAAAAAATGGCTTCATCTTCTATTGATAATACGAATTTAAGATTAAAGCAAAGGTTTTGTACTTGTGGAAGAATTGCTTCCATGCGTATTGTACGAACCAATGCGAATGGAAATAAAGGACGTGTCTATTTTGTTTGCCCAAGAAAATATGTAAGTACCTGTTATATAAATGAATCTGTTACTTTTTACAAATTTCATTTGTCCTTTATTGATTAATTGATTCTTGTCCATTGTAGGATTCGAACGACCACTGCAATTACTTCAGGTGGTTCGCAGATGATGACGACGACGACATTACCTCATCAATCCGTGCCAATGCTGACGACGACGACATTACTTCAAGGCTTGGTGAGCATGATAGAAGGCTTCAAAGGATTGAGAACATCTTGAAGGCAGTGACTTATGTCATTGTATTTTGTGTGTTTTTGTACTTTTTCATGTAAATGACTCAGTTCTTAGGTTTTCGAACATCCTATGAATGTAATCTACTTTTCTACTTGTTTTGTAATTTTTTTTTTGGTGCTTCAAATTCTGAAGATTTGCAAAAACAAGTGTGTAACAGGTTTATTTCAGATGAAATGTTGAATGAACAGTTTGTTAAATCTATTGAATTATGTTGGTTGCTTAACAATGTGTATAATAGGTTTCTGAAATGTTGAATAATGTTGCATGTTGAACTGTTGAAAATGTTGAATGTTGTATAACAGGTTTCTGAAATCTATTGATGTATGCTGCCAAATATTTCATCAAGAACAGGTTCAAGGTGTATTTGTAATGGATAGGTTCAATGTGTTCAATGAACAGGTTCAAGGTGTTTGCTGCCAAATTGATGTATGATGCCAAATATGTTTAATTGATGTATGCTGCCAAATATTTCATCAAGAACAGGTTCAAGGTGTATTTGTAATGGACAGGTTCAATGTGTTCCATGAACAGGCATGCTGCCAAGTATGCTGCCAAATATGTTTAATTGATGTACAAATACACCTTGAACAGGTATGCTGCCAAATTGATGTATGCTGCCAAGTATGCTGCCAAATATGTTTAATTGAACAGGTTCAAGGAGCTCTAAATACAAATTTTAAATCTAACTCTAGGTACTTGCACATTAAACTTCAGCATATAAAAATAAATGATGGGAGCTGTTTGGAGCAGGATGAGGAAAAAAAACACAAAGGGTCAAGAAGAACTCCCACACTATATGTATATCAGGACAAGAATTCCAATTTGTCTATTGACATTGGTACTCCATATATGCTCCATAGAAGAGAAGTCTGCCCATCTAAAGCTATTTTGGACTGAAAAAAAGTAGTAGCCAGAATATCAACAAAGAGGATCAAAGTAGAGCAACAAAGAGGATCAACCTAGAGCAAAGAGGATCGACTGCAAAACAGATTGACAGATTGACAACAGAGTAGCCATCTCTGCAAACTACAAAATCCAACAGCCATCTCTACAGACTACAAAATCCAGCAGCAACCTTTTTACACCTTGAATATACATACATCAACAACAATGAGTGACAGCAACAAGAACCCCAGCAGATAGACTGCCCACAGCAGAAGAACAGAAAATTTGAACATTTCAACAGAAAATTTGAACATTTCAACAGAAAATTTTGAACATTTCAGCAGAAGAACCCAATGAATGCTGCCAGCAGGAACATTTGAACATTTGAACAGAAAATTTCAACATTTCAACATTTCAAAAATTAATCAAAATTTCAACATTAGTTTCAACAACATTTAATGAGTAATTTGAACAGAAAATTTTTAGCAACAGTTTGATGAAAGGTTTTGAATATTACATATCCAACAAAAAATTCACACAAATTCCCAAAACAAAATAACGCTAAGACGTTGGCGTGTGATCCACATCCCCATGCCCACGGCCGCGCCCACGACCATATAGTACCTACAAAAAAAATATATATATATCATCAAAGGAACCATAAAATAAAATGGAACTTTAAATGAATGAATGACAAAATAAAAGAGAAAAGGTGAAAAAAAAATTACTTCACTACATGCGGGACTATTTGAAGCTTGCGAGTGATAACTACTTGCATTGTTAAGCAATGCTTGATAGGTTCCATGGCCGGAATACATCGATGGCATTGAAAAATGCATATTGTGATGAAGAAAACTTGGCTGCAACAATAACAAACACATATCAATCTAAAATGATAATAGTCAGCTACAAATTCGTACTAAAACTTTTTATTAAACTAACTTACATCATAGGCAACATAAATTGAGACGAAGAAGCTCTAACTTGAGGAACACTCGGCGAGAATGGAGGAAGTTGAGGAACACTTGAAAATAAAGGTGCAGACTGAGGAATTAAGGGAGGTGCTTCAGGTGCACTTGCCGAAAATAAGGGAGGAGTTTGAGGAGTAACAGATATGGAAGTTTGAGAAGCATTATGTGAACTTGTTTTATTTTTCTTTGCCAACGCAAGCTCCAAACCACCTTTTGTCCGCCTTCGTCCCTTGCTAGTGCACTCTTTTCTCTTCAGTCCTTTTGCTTGGACTACATTTTTATCCGCTACACCATCCACTTCAAAGCTTTCGGGGCATGTGTTGGGGGGGCTTTCTTGTTGAATAGTATCTGAACAAGGCATATTGAATTTTGCGCTTAACATGGTTTCAATGTCTGCAAATTTCAATGTCTGCAATTAATTCATCCACTTTCTCGACCGTCAAATTATATGTTTCCTCACTTTCAGAAACTATACACGCTACTGATCTGAATATTGCCATCAATGACCTATAACGTGAAGTTTGATGCAATCTTACATCAACCTGAATATCATGCCCACACCTATCTTTCACATTTTCAGATCTTGCTTTTTTAGTCCATCTCTTCAGAATATACTGTGAAGGAATCTCTTTCAATTTGAGTCTTTCTCTAAGGATCTTCAAACAATGACTACACAAAATGCCCTTCATTTCAAACTTCCTACAATTGCAAGTGACCGAATCATCACACTCCTGCCTCACCTTCCTCACCCTTATACCATCACTATCAAGAACCGTATAAACGGTACTCTCACCATCATTTTCAATTTCTTCAATGTTGACTTCAAGGGACTTGACATACTCATCCTGAAATTCTTCAAAAATTTTATTTGTGTAAACAGCTGCAGCTTGCTCCATAATCTTCACTTTAATATTCACCCTGGGCAACTTTTGACATAGAGCATATTCAGTTTGTAACTCTTTGTACCTTTTCTCAGACAGAACTCGATCAAAATGCATGAAAAATTGCATTAAGTTATGATCAGACTGAATGAAATCCTTCAAGAAAGCATTAAAGGATTCACTAAGTTGGGTGCTACTCATGCCCGCACCCCATGCAACAAAGGGTCAAGAAGAACTCCCACACTATATGTATATCAGGACAAGAATTCCAATTTGTCTATTGACATTGGTACTCCATATATGCTCCATAGAAGAGAAGTCTGCCCATCTAAAGCTATTTTGGACTGAAAAAAAGTAGTAGCCAGAATATCAACAAAGAGGATCAAAGTAGAGCAACAAAGAGGATCAACCTAGAGCAAAGAGGATCGACTGCAAAACAGATTGACAGATTGACAACAGAGTAGCCATCTCTGCAAACTACAAAATCCAACAGCCATCTCTACAGACTACAAAATCCAGCAGCAACCTCTTTACACCTTGAATATACGATCAACAACAATGAGTGACAGCAACAAGAACCCCAGCAGATAGACTGCCCACAGCAGAAGAACAAAAAATTTGAACATTTCAACAGAAAATTTTGAACATTTCAGCAGAAGAACCCAAGGAATGCTGCCAGCAGGAACATTTGAACATTTGAACAGAAAATTTCAACATTTCAACATTTCAACATTCAACATTATTCAACATTTCAACATTCAACATTACAACATTCAACATTTCAA